TCATTGGAAATAACTACCCCCCCCCCACAGTAGACGTCGAATCTACGGAAGCTGTGGACAAAGTGCAATGGGAACTGTGAATCCACAGGAAACAACAACAGAGCAACGCGGTTAGTGTAAACGCATTGTTTGACGCTCAGCGATAAAGCATGTATGAAATAAAAATATTCACCATACGATTCCTTTCGCCTCTACCGAACGACAGGCTTCAAGAAGTGAGATATCCCTGTGCTCAGTGAACTTGTAACCCCTCCATTCCAACGAATACGTTTATGCGACGGAAATTTCTCACTAGAGCACCCTCAGTGAGACTTCGAACTCCCACCACTAGCCTTCACGTAGTACTAAACCTCCCCTGAGAAACACTGCCTATTATGTGGGCTTCGCACATGATATTAGTCTGCCAATTGCACCGAGTTTTTCTCAGTCCCAATTACGAAGCCCTCCAGCTGCACCAATTCTTTCACCTTCGGTCATTTCAATGGTGGGCATATGTACGAAAGTTTGCTACTTTTCGCACCTTTACTGCAGACATCCTGAACAAGAGAGTAGGCAGTCCGTTCTTGTGAGAGAAAATCAGGGCCGGATCCCTTGGTCCTTCTCAAAAGTTTGATTTTCAACGCTTGGTGATTATTGGTTGTGAGACCAGACGTTCTTTTATACTAGTGAAAGAAAGAAGGCCCTCGCTGCGGAGTTATTTACTGGTAAATACCAACTGGCCGGTTACAAACCATTGGACAGGGAAGCAAAACTCTAACTTGCATCTTGTTTACAAAAACTGGACATCCATCTTCTCCTGAACGCCTCTTCTTGAAATTTCCTGGAGATTCATTGAATCCAATCATTTCTCGCTCAAATCCAAGCAAATGTTACAAAGTGACTCCACGAATTCCGCAACAGATTTCTCCTTTTCAAAAGACGCTAAGCGAAATTCTACGAAATTCTACTACTCGCGTGCCTCCCCATCAGTACTATCACCGTTACACTAGGAACAATCAAAATGTGGTTAGAGAGACACGGTACACTTTTATTCGTGGTATGTCCTTCAGACGAAAGAGCTTTTCTGACTTTTTTGTTCAGTGCGTAAGAAAATCCGAACCACTCTCCACCTGACGCCTATTCGGTGGATATCCACCGTGCTTTTTCCGAATTCCATGTTCACTTTTCGTTCATCTCCCCGCTCTTCTCACAGTTTACCTACCCGAGCAGCCACCGGGTTCTCCTCTCCACCCGGACCACAAGTTGCACGAACCGTTCGACACCTGCGGCGGATACGACACATTTTTGGCAATCCCGTGAGTGAATTTTGGCCCGTGATCTCTTTTATGATTTGTTGTCACTTGTGACCAACTGAGTGTGCAATGTGGGAACCCCCATAAGGTGACCAACGAATATCCGCCAAAGCTCCGTACAACTTTAGGCTGTCTGCTAACAACAGTCAGTACTTGTGTGAACCTTGGCCTGAGGTTTTTACTGACGCCTACACTGTACATAGGAATCCAGCATCTAATGTGGATCACATCCGGCAACTGGATCCAATTTATGTTGAAAAGCCGAGAAGTTCTGTACGGCTGTCCTGTCCCCATTCAGAAACAACAGCATCCATTGCCCTAATCCTGAGGAAGGTGCGAACCCGTTACCTTCCGGATGGGACACTTTACGGTTAAGTGATAGATGACAGTGTGACTAATTTGCATTTGTAGTGTGGTGCCACCTATCTTTCAATATGCAGTTCACATCACGTGATTTAATGTTGAACTGGTTCTTCGATATAGAGCTCGAGATAGCTCATCGGTTAAGGCGCCAGCTTACGGACCGGAAGGTCCGTGGTTCGAACCCAACCTCAATCCCGACTGCTTCTGTCTAGGCACGGGCAACCTGGCAGCATCCTAACCCCTATGCCTTATTCCGTTGGCATGGTAGCTAGGCACAGAAATAGTGCCACAGCTGGACAATTAGTGTGCCGGGTGAACAAAATGCTCGAGACTGCGAAGTTGAATCATCATTTCTCCGAGTTGCCCCACAAGTAGATGAAGGAGGACCTCCAAGTGTCCTGTTGTGTGAACAGATCACAAACCCCCTAGTGTAGCCAGTTTGTGTTCCCTCATCACAGAATTGGTGGTGTTGTTACTTAGGCTATCTTTAATTTCTTTTTATGTCGTGCAAATAGCAAGCCAACCCATGTTGACCGTCCAGGCATCAAATTTGCTCTTCTTCAGACATCACCTGTTTCTACTCGTATCTTTTTGTATCTGATTACCTCATTACCTTCGGGTCAACCAGAGGGTTTTCCTTATCTCTGTGTGAAGTATCCCGCAGCACTTACAGGACAACCTTGAACTTCATATACCCACTTTAATATTGTTTCATATTTTGAGAACTTGTGTGGTTATGTACGGCCCTTAGGAACTCTCGCTTTGCCCTACCGGGTAGGTGCTGCCCCATTGACCAACTTCTTTCTGATCCTACCGAGAGGGGTTACCCATTAAATGGTGCAGAAACATTTTCGATCAAACGCATTTTTGTGGTGTCAGTATCGACACACGGTTATTTCATATTGATTATTCGATTGACTCCAATGATCTGTTGCTATGTTCATACGACAATCAAGGACACTGCTTTCTGAGTTTTCGTCTTTAAATCTTGAGCGTTGTGCATATGGAACAGCTGTCGGATCAAGGAGCTGGTCTTTGTTGCATTTCGTACCCTTTCGGCACATGACACGTCGTGTTGAAGGTCCTCCGCCTACCAAGGCGAGATTGTTCACAATCCTATCGGATAAATAAATCGTTCAGCTGCAACACTCTTCCAGTGCCCAGCTGCCATGCCATCAAAAGGAAGCACGAGGGCTGGGATACCGTAGGTTGCCCAAGCCCAGACAGGGGAAGTCGAGAAGCAGAGGCCGGGTTCGAACCACGGAACTTCCGGTCAGTAAATTGGTGCTCTAACCGCTTGGTCCATCTCGCTTCCATTCTATCGGATAACCCTTACTGTTGTAGATTTGGATGTTGCGAGTTGAAGCGAGGAGGTGAAAAGCAAAGGAAAGCAGTGGTCTGAACAACGCCTCACACATTATAGAACTAAGTGATTCCCGTGCCATCCGTGTCCCATTCGAAAACGCCTTTTTTGCTGGAGAAAAACTACGATAAGTGTGAATAATTTAAAGATGAGTAGATCATCACCAGATAAACCAGCCACGTCGTACAGCTTGGTGCATTCTTAGATGGCATCGGCCAGCCAACCAGACTGATCATGTGACATCTCTGTGATAAGATTCTTACCTTAAATCACCAGCAACCTTCACTATAACGAAGCCAGTTTCATGCAGTCGGTAAATTGTTTGCGACTGATTACTCACACTGAGTCAGTATTGTTAGTTGTACCTATGTCAAGAAACAGGTAACACGTCGCTGCTCTTAGAAGCCGATTTCCTCATAGTTTCTTCATTTTTTGTCCGTTGCATTTAGCTGGACTACGAAAGTTCAAATAATTCAGCATCTCTGGGTGCTCTAGTCTTGCCATCAGACAAGGTGGGCAGCTCAACCAACAGTCTGGTGGAAATACGTTCACATGGCAGTCGATCGGTGGATTCGGTTCGACCGTCAAGTTACACGTGCAAATGTCCGCCGAACTCCATTCCTTTCTTCCTGTCCGATATGTCGGTCGAAGGTGCTTCGACAGTGATCCCTCCCTCAGTTCCCCATTCGTGTACCGCTTTGGTACGGTTTGAGGTGCCCTCCAGAACTGAGGACAATGTGAGTGTTACTTTGTCTTTACAGTTCTCCAGACCAAGATCCATATTTTCTTGGGTTTGTCCCCCTTCTGTTTAAAAAGCAGGGTCCATGGACTAGGCCATAGCAACAGAAAAACAATCAATACTGGAGATTTTCCGTTATGGTATTTCACCGTGAATGGTGTGGGTCCTACTGATTCAAGGCATTTTTCTTCAGAAGTTTAGTCATGGCCTCCAGCTTTGCTCGAAGACTGGCCAACCCTTTATAAATTGGGAAATTGGGAGCGAAACTCCATTCAAAACCCTGGCATGCTGTCAAAAGTCCGTCTAGGGTGCACTTCCGTTTCAGGTTGCATGGAATGAACTAGACTCGTGCCACCAATAGAGAATGCCCGTTTCCCGAAATACACCTCCAGTTATCAGAATAAAATGTAGCTTAGGCACCTACTCAGCGCCCGCCTCAATCCAGTGTCGGGCAACTCGATGCTCAGTTTACTGGATCATGGATAGTTAACCTTGGTATTAAGTGCATCGAAACTATCATCTGGAACCCCTGACGCTACAAACCATCATCAGTTATGAAGGCCCTTGAATCTCAAGGTTGGCGCTCGCTGTTGTTATGGTTCACCAACAGGATCGAAAATTCCATTTGCCATTGGGCACGGTTTGATTGGGCTTTGGTTCTCGACCTTTCGTAGGACAGACAACATGAACTGTCTTTTTTGTGATCGAGAACCGCATCTTTCCACTTCAGCTCACTCCACATTTTTGTGACTGTCTTCTGAAGGCTGAGTACATTCCATAAGAAGTAACGTGAAAACTTGCGGCATTTAGGTTATCTCAAACCCAAGATGAACCAATATGCATCATTCGAGGAACTACTCATTGGCGCAGGATCTTAATTAGCTTGCCTAACCCTCTCCTAAGAGTCGTTGCCCACTTTAGGAGGTTTAATTATAAGATGGTGTTTCATAGTTGGACACAGTCCTTAAATCATCTCCAGTGTGAAAATGCAGCAGGATCGTAAATGTGCATGGAGCCTCCCAGAGTGGAATTTCTTCGGTGGAAAATAGTCCTTTAAGGTAGCAAATCACAACAAGCTCCATGTAACTGGGGACGTCACTTGTCCTCTACATGGATGCGAAGTCCAACGTCCACTGTGCGAAGGAAACATTCATCTTTTGGTACTTAAAAATGATTAGAGAACTTGGTTAACTCGATCAAGTGTGAAAATGCTCTTTTGTTAGACCACAAACGGCCTTCCGAACATAAAACACCATTCGCGATGGGCGCAACAGTAAGTCGTCTGGTGGGCTGATGAATGCTTTTGTTGATTCAATCCTCCACCGAGACTGTCCACGCGGCATGAGTCGCTCTACACCCTAGATGAACTGTTGTCTTACACAGAATCAGAACGATCGTCAGGTCTCCCGGAATAAACCACACAAAACAGCTGATCGTACAATGTTAATTGTCTACTGGCAGGTTTCCGCTATATGTTTGCATGAACCGTCCTGTTGTACCTAGATCACATGCTTGAAGTGCGTGCTTGCTCAGCTCCTTTCACAGTTTTTTGAGTGAGAATATCCTCTGCTTCTCACCTTGTACCTACAACAGTTCCCGAATACAGCCCCTTGGGAACGTTATTATCTTCGACGAGCAGACGATACCCTTATTATGACGCACCTCGCTGGTGAACCGTCGACCACCACTCGGAAGGTGAGTTTTCCTCCCTCCTCTGTTTAGCATATATCTTGACTTGTTGTTTGTCTCCACCTTGTTTTTAAAGCATTTTATCTCATTGAACCATAACATGATCTTTATGCTATACGTCCACCGTTTTAAGAATAACGGTAGTCGGATCTCATCATCTCGGTAGCCCGAAGAAAGAGTTGGAAATCCGTTTTCTGTCGGTAATAGGTCTACCGTTTTGGGAATCTACTAATGGGGATGGACATTTCCATCTTCACAACTTTGTATTAATGACTGCTTGCCCTGAACTACCGTTGCTTGACCGTGTGTTGTAACCTGCCCATCACCTTCCGGCAAGTTTATATTATCTTTGAAACCATGCTGATAATTCACACGGTATGATTGCACAAGAAAACGCTATTCGACCTCCAGATGGTCGAAAACAGAGGGGACTATAAAACTATAAATAGATGAAGTTATTGCTTATCTTACCCGTATCGGTTGTGAGCCACTCAGTGATACCCTCAAAATAGACTACCGTAGAGAGTGTTTGGCCTCCTTTGAAAGGATTGAACTCTGTTCGAGTACACCCTACACAAGATTCGAGGAATGCTTTGTTTTGGAAAGATTATCGTGTATCGGATGTTTGTGTCCGGACTTCACCACTTCTGAACTTGTACTTTGTCAGACACCCCTGATGTCGCATTTTATTTCCAATGCACAAAGGTAACTTTTCACTTCAATCTAGCAGCTCTCTGTTGCGGAAGCCAAGTTGACTCACTGGTTAACAATCAGGATCAGCTTTGACATCCTTTTATCTCATGCATGCCGTAAACCCTATAGGGAGTTCAAGAGTTGATCCATAGTTATGTTAGCCACACCCTGGTCAGTTCAACTGCCAAGGATGAACTTGAACCACATACTTTATACTCATGAGTTTGCGTACTAACCTCTGCCGTGCATCGGGCTCACATGCTGACTACGAATGCAAACACACCTTGTCGCTGAGTCCGAAACATGACCTTTCATACTCATGCGTTTACACCTCAACCTCCACGCTGCATCGATCGCCTCTAGTAGCCGTCCAGACAACTACTCAAGTAATACGCGGTCGTCCAAGCGGTCGTACAAGGCCGATCAAGAAATCACACATGGGCTTGAGTCGCGAATCTTTCACTCGTCAGCTCACACGCTCTGCTTCACCAACACAAGAATTGGGCTACCCTTTACCTCCCCGTTTGTTAGTGATAATGTTGATTACGATCATAATGATGGTGCCACTCCAAAAGGGACTTTCTCCTACAGAGGGCCCGTGATTTCTCCATGATTCGATTGGTCTCAGAGGAGCTAGGATTGCCTTATACCAACNACGCGCTGCTTTGCCTACCCCATAGCGCTTTCTCTTCCGAAAATCTTTTCAGCTTGCGCTACCATGAATACCTTGATCACGTAAATCGTGAATTAACGTATAAGGAATCGATGAAAGGACGCTCCGTTATAGCCGTTCTCTCTTTTCAGGTCCCAAGGCTCATCCTTACTTTGAGGAGGGATAGATTTTGTATATAATAGGATCTTTACTCTCCTTCCAGCAGCCAACATTTGCATATCCGTACTTGGCACATATGCACGTCACCCTATCCGGTGGGACAGTCACGTGGCAGAACAATATGGACCAATGCACCTCATCTGTAGCTCTGAAGTCTGACACATTTCCTTTGGCTGATCCAGTATTTGGTACGATGAACGTACTGATGCCCGAACAACACCTCAAATGCCACATCATACTGGATCGACAGCTTGCATCGAGCGTTTTTGGCTCTTGGGGTCCCGAGCCTGCAGCTATCAAATCGACGGAAGGGGCTGAGTCAGAAGATGTAGGTTTCAAGAACTTTTCCGTGTTTGTATCTGAGTACATTTTGCCTTCGGTAACAGTCATCCGTTGCCGATTCCAAAAGTGTGTGGGGAGTCAAAATTTGTTACTTGATGGTCTCGTTAATTCGTGGCGTTAGACAAATCCGCCTAGTAATCTACTTCAGTGTTTACTAGTAGTAACTTATGGTAGCAGTTTCAAACTTGTCAAACCTACCCAGTCCCCGCAGTTCTTGTTTAGCTTCCTTTGATTTTCGTCAGCACACTCATCTTGCCTTTCAATGAGCTGACATCAGAGATACTTCCTCATTCAAAAGACATTGGTTTAGTCGAGTCTGAAATGTTTTTTTCTGGAAGCAGAAAGTTGTACCATGGCAGAACGTTTTCACACGAGTTCATTGCGACTGGATTATTGAACGCAATATGAAGACCATATATTGTACAAATTCCACTTTTTGCAGTCTGTTATAGAGACATCTGCTCAGCACAAGACTATGTGTAGTAAAAACGCATATAACTCCGTATGTCCGTCACTAACGACTCGAGAGTTTTTCCACTTCAAAACGCGCACTACTTTTACCCGATCCTCCGTATTGATATTTCTTAGATCCAAGTAACCGGAACACAAACACAATCGCGCACTAATCCTCGACGTATTAAACCAGTCACGGGTCGTTCATCTAGTCTGGGTTTGGCGGGGCCAGCTGGTGGTATGCCACTATTTCGCGCAGTTGGAACGGCTGCCGCATCAGTTGGTATGCCGTTGATCGGGAGGGCTCACCTACCGTCGTGGCTGCAAACTTCAAGTTCTACCAAAACCATCGAGATATCCAACCCGATTCCAATTACTAGCTCCGCAGAGTCAGCGAATGGTGGAATGAAGCCAAAGGGTAGGTATCCACCTTCGTTGTCAGTCGTCTTTGTTTACCTTTTTCGGAAAGAAAACGAATCGTTGAAACAGTTGTCATGCTGTCCTTTCGTTGCTCCTCCTATTGTATGATTTACTTGCGTTGACGTAATTTACTTCGCTGCTTCTATTCTTACACTCCTCCGGCCTCCGTCCCTCAGTGGCTTTGAACAGTGGCAACGGTCACCGCCATCAAAACATCGGAGGTGGAAGCATGGAAGGTGAATTTCCCGTGATCATGTACTACTTGGCCCAACAGGATAGTGCCCTTAGATAGCGGACCGGTGAGAGTGCGGATGAGTAGTGCCAAAGGGTGTCGTTTTTTGGCTTGTTGGTGCCATCTTTTCATGTACTATCATATTTAAGCGATGGGATTCGTTCATAAAGCGTGAAAATGGTTATCACGTCAGGTAAGCCAGACAGTCACACAAGCAGTTGTGGATGCTTGAATAAATTATTTTTTCCCAAGAGTACTTCTTTCTGATCGAGTAAACGTGTAACTCTTACTGAATTCCCTCTTTCGTGACTTTCTATTTTCACTTCAAAACCAATTTCTCGAGTTATTCGATTAGCTGCGATATATGCGTATTTTCGTGTCATTTCACTCACTGTCGAATTTCTTGTGACAACCTAGTGAAAGAAACCCACAAAATCTCGCACACTAACCATATAAATCATCCCCAGAAGTGATTGGTACTCGATTCCCAGCTTCCATCATTAGTTGTAGTTTTAGAAGTGTTTTAGAAGTGATTTCGTCCTGTAAGTGAAACCAATCTACGCCGAAAAGCCCAGAAGTACTCCACAGCTGTTTCATCTTTATTGGGAATCGTCAGCAGTTCGTATGCCACGGTACCTCAGGAACTCTTGAACCCACGACCTTTGAGCTAGTAGTTTGGACAATTAGTCGTTCGGTCACCAGCGGTTTAGCCAGGGTTTACGAAATCGTTCAGCTTTAACAGCCTTTCGGTGCCTAACTGCCATGCTACCCGAAGGAAGCCGCCAGATTGCACTAACCTAGATGGGGGAAGTCGAGGAGCAGATGTTGGGTTCAGTAGATTCACACTTTGAGCAATCTTACCCGGTTAAGTGTTCAAACCACTAAAACTCGAGGTTCCTTGAGGTTTTGTGAAACGTGCACTGATAATGATTCCCAGTTGTGCAATGCTTCTTCGCTTTCCGACAGATTGGTTTCATTTGCGTAACGAAGTTTTCATTAAATAGACTGGTCTTACCTTGACTTGTATTCCAGTTCCGGTGGAACTTCGATTGTTCTACGGTCAGCAACAATCGCATCTACGAACCAGAAGACGCAACTTGGCGGACCAGCTTAGTGTCTTCTGTTACAGTGTGAGGGTTGGCTCAATGCTTACCGAATATTCAATAGGTAGTTCGTCTGCAGGATGAAATAATTGTCTGCTGAACAGCTGGAAGTCACTGCAGCTGTTTTATCGTTGTTATTAGTTATCGATGATCTGCTCGCAAGTTCTTAGGGAATTCCACGTCTCGGCTTTCCGGTTAGTGGTTCGATACTCTACGACCGCAGTCAGCCGGTGAAATCGTACGATATGGCACTACCATCCTTCAATCACTGCGTTCATCTCATGTGGTTCGAGAGCACACTTCGAGAGCAAGCCAAAAGCCTCATTTGATTTACGAGATTTTCCGTTTTAGAATTAATTTCATCTTGTCCCTGTATCCAGTGTGCGGTGAAAAGTTGAGAAGCACCATGCAGTGGTGTGTATCCGTAAGAAATTCGAAACGGCGATCCTCTGCCTAGTAGGACGGATTGACTCCATCTGCAAGGTGAAACTTCTATCGAAACTTCAAAATCTCAGCACCGCCTACAAGTCATATGCATGTTTCTCGCTTTGAATTCGAAACCAATGTTTAAATTCACCAGTGCTTAAATTGATGACCCTTGAACCGTTTCTTTCAAGGTTTTTCTCGGAGGGTCAGTTTCTCATGGAGCAGAAATATAGACTTTCTCCACAGGCCGGTGTATCATCCCATGAGATTGGAAATTCTCTGCAGAAATCGGGTGGATTATGTTGCTAAGTAGCGTTTCTTTGAACAGACGGTCTAGGCAGTATATTGTATGATCGTCGTAGCTCATGGGCAGTTTGCACTTACGACATTTTGGCATGATGACTGAGTGCGTGTGATTGTCCAGCGTATAGGTTTACCATTCCACTCTCAAACATTACCTTTTCTGTCAAACAAAATGCTGTTCCCTACGGATAGCTTGAGTTAATCCGACACCTAGTCTTTTCTTTGATTATCATTTTCACTGTCCAATCGATGTTCTTGATGATACCCCTCACGAGGAGTTTAGCAGCTTCACTTGGCTTACTTCTGAAACCCCAGTTACTTTTTTCGTATTAGTTTTCAAGTTTCTCGCATCTGTCTTTGGAATTTTGCAGACGCACGACTGGTATCTTCTCAGACGACGCCTAAGGCCACTTCGACCGATTCGTCCAAAAAGGTTTCTCGTTCAAGTCGTGGTTGGTTTCACCAGGCGTGGCATCCTATGCGTCGTGTTGCAACTGCCTCCGACGACCCTTGCGCTCATTCCCGGACGTCGAAGATGACCAGTGCCGCTCGACGGTTCGCATCTACTCACGGTATTCTGACCCATTCCAAGTCCACTACTGCTTCGCAGTCTGATATCATGCCGTCACAGCTGGAACACTTCGGACAGATTGAAACTGAACCACCCTCCTTGGATGTGCGGTCAGCAGTCGAACCGATCAGTAGTCCAGCACCTCTACGCTTAGCGGCTTGCGTCTCTCCTACTCCTGCTCTTCAGAGTCCTTATGTTACGTATCTAAGTCCAGAAGCTAGTGATTTTCCAAACGGTAAGTCTTCATGGAACCAACTCTCGATAATGTTAGGTTCTCAGCTTGTGGACATCCGCAGGATTGGAATAACATCAGCTGTCAGGCTTTTATAAAATCAACTACTGCATCCCCTGCGGGTGTATCGCTTTTGAGGAGTCCCACGAATGAATGTAACAGACAATTTCATCTTCTTTGGATCCGGAATATAAAAGATGGAGAGGAACTGCTGGAGGAAAGGCATAGGTTGTAAGATGTCATCATAAGACACAATAGGACAGACTTGTTTTGGTCTGAACTTTGGGGAACCTCTTGGCTTGTTTTTTGGCCAGCTTCTTAACCTGGCCAAAATGTTTCCTTTTCATCCACCAGAAGTGAATTCACGGATACTTGTTCTAAACTCTGGTCACGGGGTCCTGTCTTGTACCTTACATACTTTTGCTTTCAATTTCAACTGTGATATTTTCAAACCCGTCTCTTTGACAGACCATCGATCCAGCCAAGTCACGCTAAAACTTCCTGACTTTTTTCTTATGACAACCAACACCGTTGTAAGTTTAGCGGGAGGAATGATTGTCAATGACAAAGGCTCTTACTCTTGTGATCTTTTGTCTTTTCTGGGGAGAATGGCGAATCAGCACCAGAACGACCCTCCTGTTCGCTTGTGGAACTCTTCTGGTTGAGCATGGCTATTGCATTGGAGACGTCCTCTGTGGAACCTGAGAAAATTGACGTTTCTGTATGCGTGAGGCCGGACGGGATGATGTTCCGGCAATTTGAACTCAATTGTTACCCGAGGTGATAATGTACTAACACAAACCTTTTTTAGTAATGGTTGAACTCCTTTTACGAGAGTTGATAATCTGGTGATACCACGCATATGTGAGTATTTACTATCACAGTCCGCTCCACTGGTCGCATGAAAGTCCCACGTCCGAGTGAATCCAAATTGTCGGGAGAATCTTCAATAGTTCATATATTCACGTGCAAGAGGAGAGGCGGGTGACCTTTTGTGTAGGGCAGAATAGCCGCATTTAAGACTACTTACATCCGAAAGTCACTAGTTAGTCATGAGGGTTACCAATATAGAAGGACGCTCAGTAGACCCCGACGTATTTCCGAACCCGATTCATTTGGTTGCATTGTGTGACGCGCAGTAGATGAGGGTGTCACTCCTAAAGCTTGATACCATTGCCCTCATTCGGAAAAATGCCCTTTTTGGTTGGTCTGTTGATGCTTCATTTACTAGTTAAGCCCACTTCCGGGCGACATCATCTTCATTGTTACCCTTTGTGCGGGACAACCTTCGAGGGACAACCGTACTTCGCCCACTTTGACGTTTTTGATCACTCTCATCCAACTCCCACCAATGAACTCGTTCCAAAGCATCGACCAGTCGAAAGCGGAAATTTTCGTAGAACTCGACAAGTTTTTTGTATGACAATCCGAATTGAACCGCGATAGCTAAGCTAATATGTATCCTCAACCCCATCTACCTAATGGCACACATGCTAATACACTCTCCATTTATGGACACAAGGGCAAGTTACTTTGTGTCATCTGATTGTTTACAACTTGCAGGTTTCTCTCTCTCCCTCCTTCCACCTTGTTTGGCATCAAAAATCTGACCTCATTGTTTATACCTGGCCATTGGCTTATCGGATGGTGAAATGGAGTTTCCGCTGTCTTTTTGTCCGTTGTCACAACAACCGACACTCAGTTGTCGAATATCTGGGTCGTTTCTACTTGCATTGAACGCTTAGACACATTCATGTTGTAGTGAGCGATCAATTTTGCTTTTACAGGTGTGCACCGATTCAGAAAAGCTCTTTAGAACTCCATGCCCCAGGCAGACTATTACTGCTATTGGTAGTTCTTGACTTAACTATTTTTCATCTTCCCATAGCACAATACTTTCTCCCATTATGGGAAGCTTTATGCATGTGGGAACGATTCTGGCGCACATGCGGTTTTTCTCCTTGAGGAAGATTCATAAAATTCATGGCTATTTACCCAAGAGATTAGCTAATTTTAAATCGAGATTTCTTCCGGTCAGTGAAGTCTAGAAGCACTGCACAGCTGTTTCATCCTTACTCGGCAGTGCGCATCGCACGAAACTCCAAGGGGGTTCGAACCCGCGACCTTCCGGTCACTGGTTGAACCCTTAACCGTTCGGCTACGAGCGGCTGAACAGTTTAATTTGCTCCCACTTAGTCAGGATATGGTGCATTTCGTCCTTCAATCACAAAAACTACATCACGTGGTCACGTATCCACCAGCTCCCCGAGTGAAGACTTCACAGAAAGAAGTTTCACTGATCTCGTGAGATTATTCTTCCTCTGATCCACTTATAGATGGATGATAGCGTGAGGGGATTCGGGCGGTTCCAATTAAGAATTTTTGGCAACCTAGTTTGACCCCTAATATGAACCCAATAAGGGTGAAGCAGCCATACGGTGCTTCTCCGCTTTTAGGCATAGATTGGCCTCACTGACAAGACGAAATATCAGTTTTCAGGGTTTTTGTGTTGCACTTCATGATAGCTCTCTACTAGCTGTAGTGTCCGTTTACGGCCAATCAGCCGTACAATTAGAGGGCTGGGTTATGACTGGGTTGCTTAATTGTGAACGGCAGCAGTTGGTAAGTAGTGTTCGCATTTTGAGCCATGGGACTTTTGGCGCCAGTGCGCGCCCTAGTCCTTGTCCTATATTAAGCTCATCGACTTGGCATGCAGCTCCGTACACAAACCCTTAGATATTGTCTGTCTTCACAAGCCCATACACAGAATGTCAATCGTGATCGATTAGGTGGATACATCGGAGATAAGAGTGAGTTCCGGGCGCCCAGGTAGCAGAACAAATGAGACTCAACTATCATCTCCTAAGCTCATTGTTTTTGTTTCAGACTTGGGCTTCCGCCTTTTAAACTGATTACAGTCCCGTATCAAATCTCGCGAGTTCCAGTTCGGCTTGCCGCTGGATTCTGGCAATGTGATTGGTTGGGTCTGAGTATTGGAAAATGGGTGGATGGGATACATTCTTATTCTGAGGCTCATTTGAACCCTACGCCAATCTTGTTCGATCATTTGATGTCTCTGTGTGGTAGAAATTCGAGAACGTTATACTCTCTGTAGCCATTGGTCACTCGCAGACATGGAAAGTAATTTAGAAGGACTTTCGATCATTGGAATTGCGGTTTTGTTCAGAATACAATCTGGTCCCGTCACACCAGAATTCATCCACCAAGACTTCTGTAGAATTATTTTTCATACTGAGTCCCTTTACACCGTTTTCTTCCCTTATCCGGCTGCCCCGAATGCATGTCAATTTATTTCAGATAGTGCAATCCACAGCACTATGGCGTTCTGTAAAACTAAGCTGCCTTCGCCTTCAACTCGGTAGGCGAACGACATTGTGAAGCGTGTGGATGCTGCACGATTGTAGCATGCAATCACAGTAGTGGACATTGGCACGTGTTGCGAAAAAGAGAAACAAAATGTTACAAGTCATAAGGTGGCAGTCTCGCAGCTGTCTATTAGCACATCTAATATGACGCCCTTTTGCTGCACAAGCGTGAAGCTACAGAACGGAATCGACACCAATGTCGGGAAATCGGCTGTAGAAACAGTACAGAGTTGAAGCATGTTTTCCACATTCTATTTGTTGATCCGTTCTTCAGTGCATGCCATATTCTCGTAACTGCTCCAAGACTACAACTTGGGAGCTCAGAGTAATGAACCATGCGGGCAATGGTTCCTCGCTGCTCAGTGACCTAGTCAATTCATTTCATTTGGGCCTCTGAAAAAAATTTTGCCGAAGCCTTGTTGATTGGACGTGGTTGCGTCCGCGCTGTGATGTTCCACCCGATTATAAAATTGAATGGGATCGCGTTAGTCCAAGAGATATCTGATTGAATCTTACATGCTTCCTTGGTCGTTTGTCTTAATGCCACTATGCTATCGGGATAAGTGTTTTTGTGGTCTCAACGGGCTTGTTCACTGCCTTGCCAACATGCTCGCTATCCAAATTTCCGGTAAAATGACGCATGAGATTACTCTAAATTTTTATGTAGCGATCGAGTCATGAAAAGTGGATACTGGCGGACACGGTTTGTCAAGGAGAATCGTTGTCGCCTTGATGTTTCCTACTGTGTTGTGGTAACTTGTAGTCAGAAAAAAAGCTGCCTCACGAAGTTTTGCGACACAAGCGATACCCCCAGCATCTTCTGTTCTTGTATGCATCGTGAGCCGTTGGACGTTCAGTTGAATTCTGGTTCGTGTATCATCCGACAATAATGTAGTGATGTCAAGATTTGACTAGATAGGCTGGAACTTTAACGCATTTGTTGTTGGAAACGTCCCATATTATTACACTGGACGACACTCAATGATAAGATGGAAACAGTCGTTCCATATATCTGACAGCCAGTATAACACCACTGGACAACGTTGGCTGGAGTCATCCTACAACATTTGTTTGACAGCTGTGATCTTCGCCTGAGTTTTGGGAATGAAGTCCAGTTAGTTTGACATCTTTTCGTTGTTCACATCTTGCCCTGTCTTGCACGTTGTTTCAGTGGATGAATGTTTCTCGATGTCTTTGATGATATGCCGGATGATTAGTTCAGCTCGTTGACCTGACACGCTCATCGTCATCATCATCGACTGTATGACATCAGTGTTCAACACCGATGCTTCACTCCTGTACAACCATGATTTATTTGAAAGCCTTATTGTAAAGAAAAGAGTAAAGGTGGACGGGGAAGGGACTCAGTGCTAGCTAACCCCAATCATTCCGAGGTGCCTACACCTCCAGAGACTCTTTCAGGCCGTCGGGATAGAAACTGAAAACATGACTGCCACTGACATCGGTTGGCAGCCATATTTTGTAGTGTCTCCAACCAGGCGCAGTAAGGATCACGCGAGAATCACCCTGGAAGGTCAGTAACACCGACAGCACCCAAGCGTTTCGTAATCGCCTTCACACTCTGCCAAATCGAGGGTTGGCCACCCCTCTGTTTAC